GTAAACTCGCAAAAGAGAAATAGAAAGTTTGATAACAAGTGTTTCAAGCTTAAATATCCATTTCAGATAAGCAAGAATAGAAGGTATAATCAAATTTTCTATATGTCTAAGATTTAATTTAATGAAGCATATATTTAATATATGTGTACGACGTACGATAGTTGGTTTTAAAATTAAATAGAGTATGATACTTTGTATCGTAATCTGGATGCGATAATAGTGTTTTAAGTAAGTACTGTGTTTGAAAAGAGGAGATTAGACTTACTATAAAAAAAATAATGAAAATGACAAGAGAGGGTGGGAGCTAATAAGTAGAAGATGCCAATAGTAACCACTCCCTTCTCTCACATTTTCTTCATTAGATAATTGATAAAATTACATCTCATTTTTCCATTTTGTTAAAGGGTTAATATTCTCTTTTAATTATCCATTTATTGGCTAGTACTTTTGCATAAGGCACAAAAGTCTTAATGTATCTTTGATTCAACCAATTAACATATAAATAATTTGTTTATTCTTCATGTTATACTTTTTTTTGGTGATTCTTAACCTTTTCTAAGTTAAGGGTTTTGTAGCTGCTCCATCAAATATGATGTAGGCATAGTGAGACATGAAAATAAAAGACAACCATAATCATAACAAAATTATATAGAAAATAACTAAAAATAAAAGAGAGATATTTAAGATTAGTGACACTATTAATATACTAATATTTGTTTACTAATTTGATTTTACTCTATTCATATTGAAATTTAGTGATCATATTAGATTATTTGAACAATCATATTTCACACGTGGAACATAAAAAATTCTTGTATATACTTAACTAAGATAAATATATTCAAAATAAAGTTAAAAAAAGAGTAAGAAAAAAAATCACACATAATGATGATGAATATTTTAAAAACGGTTAAAAGTAAGAAATTATGCAAACTTAATCTAATACATGAATCATATACATTCATACATGAAAACAAAGAACACATAAATTACAAAAATCTATCACCAGAATCAAATTTTGGATCTGCAAAATCCTATAAGATCTATTGGATTTTCAGTACTGTTTTGTATTTCTGTTGGTTGTTAGTTGCACTTATTTTCTTACAAGACTACTTTCTAACCAAATAATTGTGACCTTTGCCAAGAAGTCGATCCACCTCTGTTTTTATTGAATAAGATTTCGTATCTAATCTATTACAGATAATATATATATTTTAGTATTATGGACTTGACTACGCCTTATTATTATATTTGATGTCATTGATGACTGAATTATTTGTCGACATTATAGTTACCTTCTGCCTCGTTACTTGCACATACTGATTTACATGAAAATTGTGTGTATTTTTTCTAATCATGTGTAAGTCAGAGCTCGAAAAAATATTTTAACTTCATGGTTTTGACAAATCCTATTTTGGGTGATGTTATTGACGGTAACATTATTTAGTAAATATCTTGCGTGAATTGATTTCATAATGATAAGAAAGACTAGAAGGTGGCGTTCATCTGGGGTATGACCTCACCCTTCATTATCAGAAATATTGACCGCCAAATCCATTTAATTCATCACTAACGTAATAAAAATACTGTTTAGCCAAGGCAAAGTGGAGTACTAAAATTATGCTTATAGGAAAATCATGATCTTTATGACTTAAGTGGGGTGTTAATTACATACAACTAATTAATATAGATACATTACAATGCCTTGCAAGAATAAATTAATCTCGTTATTCATTCATGATTCTTCGGCCTGACCTGAGAATCCAAAACAACAGTTCTAGTGTAGTTATTTACAGCTTCCTATAAACCGCAATGCCAACAGAACTGAATGTATCTTTCAGGTCCCAGGTCAAGATCCTCATTCCATTTCGCGTTTCTATTTAAACAGAAGAGCTTCTTTTGGCCTTTCAAGAAGTGACATCACTGTGGCCGCAATGTGCTTTGATGAAAGCCCTGCTTCTTCAACCTGATCCTGGGGTGACCCATGATCAATGTATCTGTCAGGAAGCATCATTGCTCTCCACTGCAGGTAAAACCAAATTGGTTTATTGTTAGAAATGCACAAAATAGGGACGTATCTGAAAATGAAAATCATATAGAGAGCGACTTCTCCATTGAGGAAGGTTTACCTTTAGAGGTCCATCTAGAATACCAGATAAGCTCAAGAATTGAGAAACATGTGATCCAAAACCACCGATAGAACCCTCTTCCACCGTGATCAGTATTTCATGCTCTTTAGCCAGTAGCCTGATGAGATCAATATCCAAAGGTTTGCAAAACCTAGCATCAGCAACTGTCACACTAACGCCTACTTCTTTAAGCAATTCCGAGGCATGTCTGCATTGTTGAACCACAGAACCATATCCCAAGATAGCAACTCTGCTGCCTTCCATCAGAATTCTGCCTTTTCCGATCTACACGACCAAAAAATTTTCAATTCGGTGGCTTAACTATTGAGATAAGATTCAGTTTAGGAAATACATGTTAGTATCTGATTCTCACCTCAAGTGGGGTTCCTTTGTTGTTGAGTGGCAAAGTGGCTCCAATTCCATTTCCCCTTGGAAATCTGAAACAGCTTGGTCTGTCATCTATAGTTGCTGCTGTTGCAACCATGTGCATCAGTTCAGCTTCATCAGAAGGAGCCATGACCACCATGTTGGGCAGGCAAGCCATGTAAGTGATATCAAATGCTCCACAATGGGTTGGTCCATCTGCTCCAACCAAACCAGCTCTATCCATGGCAAATCGTACAGGTAGCTTTTGAAGATCAACGTCATGGACTACCTGGATACACAAAATAAATCACAGTGATAAGAATTTTTTTATCGAAGTTATTAACTTAAAAATAAACTTGGATCAAGAAGAAATCAATAATAAGATAGTTTGGACTATTTCTCATTGAACCATATTGGCTCACCTGATCATATCCTCGTTGTAGGAATGATGAGTAAATGGCACAAAAGGGCTTGAGGCCTTCAGCAGCTAACCCAGCAGCAAATGTAACAGCATGCTGCTCAGCTATCCCCACATCGAAACAGCGATCGGGAAATCTTTTGTGGAAATAATTTAGGCCTGTACCACCACCCATTGCTGCGTGAATGGCCACTATCTTGTTGTCTATTTCAGCCTCCTTTATCAAAGACTCAGCAAAGTACTGTGTGTATGAAAGCGTTGAGGATTTTGCCTTAAACTGCTTCCCTGTTTTTGGATCAAACTTCACAACCCCTGAAAATATGAGAATGTATAAGTGTCTGTTTGGATTCAAATAAGTTTTAAATAGCGCAAAATATTAACTACCTATTTAATCAGGTTGAGAAATTAATTGTGAGTACACAATTGATTGAGTTATATTAACAGTGGGTAACTTTTTGCAATATATCTAAGAATTGATTTTACTATTTCGTGTTTCTCATAATGATTTATGAAGAAATATCCCTTTCTCACCGTGCATTTTATCAGCTGCTTTTTCTGCTGGGGGGTATCCCTTCCCTTTCTCTGTGACAATATGAATCAAAACTGGACCTGGAGCAGGTATTGATTTGACTTTTTCAAAGATGGTGACCAGATCTTCAATGTTATGACCATCCACAGGACCTATGTAGTATAAGCCTAGTTCTTCAAATAATGTAGATCCAGAACCGCTGATCATGCCTCTTGCATACTCATCCACTTTGGCTGCAACCTGGTGTGTTTGTCCTCCAATTTGTTTCGTGATACTCTTCAGGAATAAAATTGGAGTCAAATAAAGGCCACAGCTTATTTAAAGTTTGACATGATCACTGAGATCATGACGCTCACTACGAATATGACAAGTTTAAGAGGCTTACTTTTGCAGCTTCTCTGAGTTTACGGAATTCTGTACTCGCTTGAATTTTGCTCAAAGCACTGCTGAGTGCTCCGACAGGACTTGCAGGTCCATCAAGTGTGGCAGTTGGTAAAGAGACTTGCTTGTTGTCATTAAGTATTACTATCATGTTAGAATCAAGGAACCCTGCATTGTTCATGGCCTCGTAAGCTTGGCCTGCTGTCAATGCCCCGTCTCCTATCACTGATATGATGCTGTTCTTCTTCCCCAGCAGATCACGTGCAACAGCCATGCCTAATAAATATTCAGAATTGTTGCTCAAATGTGAGATAAATGTTTCTGCACATATATTTGACGAAAATACATTCATCTTAAAATATAAGAATCTTACCAAGACCAGCAGATATGCTTGTAGAACTGTGTCCTACCCCAAAAGCATCATGAACGCTCTCATCCCTTTTAGGAAAACCTGCCAGCCCCGAAGTCTTCCTAATGGTGTGCATTCTGGACCTTCTACCCGTAAGAATCTTGTGTGGGTATGCCTGCAATTCGGTTACATTTTAGACTCTCTTACACGCATCACACATGATAAAATGATGAAAATTGTACAGAAGAGAAAAAAAATACAGAATTCTAGTTTTGTCACGAGCAATGAATTTTCTCTAAAAGAAGATTATATTTCTTTTGTTGTTATTTAACTTGTATTAGAAAAGAAGAAGAAATAAACAAGACGAAAGATTACCTGATGACCAACATCCCATATAATTTTGTCTTCAGGGGTGTCGAAAACATGATGCAAAGCCACTGCTAACTCCACCACTCCCAAGCTTGAACTAAGATGCCCACCAGTGTTTGACACACTGTGTACAATATCTGCCCTCAGCTCTGCTGCAAGTTGCTCTAGATCCTGACAAATACATTCAATACTTTTAACAAACAAACTAACAAAACTCACAGAAAACAAAAACTGTTGTGTCAGCCACGGACAAGAAATATGCTGTGGCATGACCTTTAGGCCTTAACAAATGATTCCAAATTTTAAACCTGAGTGGACAGATTCTTCATGTGAATTGGGTGGTTGATTGTGTCCAACAGTGGTGTTTGAGGTTTCTCTCCTGAGTAATTGATCTTCCATCCGTCTTTCTCTTTCCTGATAATAGTCTTCTCGACGTCACCCGAGTCATTTGCCGAAACTCTAACGCAGAACTGACAAACACAATAACACATGAGCCATCTTTGCAGCATCAGTGGAAAAATAATGGTGAATTTGCTGTTAACAAAAGGAACACGAGAAAAAGGAAAAGAAAAGCACAGTATGATGTTGAGAGAGATGTGTTTAGTGTGGTTAGATTGTTAGATCAGAAAGGACAATGGAAAGTGTTGTTAGAGAGATGTAGAATTGTACGTATTATTGATTCACCAACCTTTTTTCTGGTATCATAGTATGGAGTTGGAGCTTTGGGTTTGTGGGTTGNGTCTTCAGGGGTGTCGAAAACATGATGCAAAGCCACTGCTAACTCCACCACTCCCAAGCTTGAACTAAGATGCCCACCAGTGTTTGACACACTGTGTACAATATCTGCCCTCAGCTCTGCTGCAAGTTGCTCTAGATCCTGACAAATACATTCAATACTTTTAACAAACAAACTAACAAAACTCACAGAAAACAAAAACTGTTGTGTCAGCCACGGACAAGAAATATGCTGTGGCATGACCTTTAGGCCTTAACAAATGATTCCAAATTTTAAACCTGAGTGGACAGATTCTTCATGTGAATTGGGTGGTTGATTGTGTCCAACAGTGGTGTTTGAGGTTTCTCTCCTGAGTAATTGATCTTCCATCCGTCTTTCTCTTTCCTGATAATAGTCTTCTCGACGTCACCCGAGTCATTTGCCGAAACTCTAACGCAGAACTGACAAACACAATAACACATGAGCCATCTTTGCAGCATCAGTGGAAAAATAATGGTGAATTTGCTGTTAACAAAAGGAACACGAGAAAAAGGAAAAGAAAAGCACAGTATGATGTTGAGAGAGATGTGTTTAGTGTGGTTAGATTGTTAGATCAGAAAGGACAATGGAAAGTGTTGTTAGAGAGATGTAGAATTGTACGTATTATTGATTCACCAACCTTTTTTCTGGTATCATAGTATGGAGTTGGAGCTTTGGGTTTGTGGGTTGGGGAGAAGCAATAGTTTGGCTTAAGCAAGGTACCACTACAAAAGGCCATGGCTATTGAGAACAGTGAGAGAGAAAGAGAGAAAGAGATGGAAGTAGGAAGAAAATTGAGAGCAGATTCTGAAGCAAAGCTTTCTTCGCGGTGGTGTTGCATTAAACAGAATTGTTGAAGTAGCCTTTATAGGGACAAAAATGCAGAAGCAAACAAAACCGAGCCTCGTCAATTCATTTCATTTTATTGTTTATTGGGTCTACTTATTCACCATTTACACATTTCTTTATTTTTGCTTTGCTGTTTCTTTTTATTTTATTATAATTCATCGTAAACAATACGGGAGAAATATAAATGTGTCATAAATTTAGAAAGAATTACGTATTCAATTTTCATTCATATCATTTCTTAAAACATAAATTAATCGACTGAAATATTTTAACAAAACCCTTTTAGAAAATTAATAATCGATTGTTTATCAATTTATTATTTATTTATTATTATATTAACGTATTTTAAATTTTAAAAAATAATAAATATATTGTATTAAAATATTATTAAAAAATTTATATTAATGGATCATTGTCTCTTTTAATAAAAGAGACAAAATAGATATAGAAAAAGATACGGTAGAATATATTTGAAAGGAAAGTATTAAATTAAAAAATAAATATATTTATGGTCTTTGAATATACAAAAGTGATTAAAAATCTTTGAATTATAAAATTATTTTTATTTCAATAAATATTTTTACCCAGTAATTTCTTGAAAATAAATTTTAAATTATAATTAAATAAAATAAAATACTATTAAATGTAAACATCATTATTTAATAAAAAATAAAAAATACATTAAATATACACCAAAACAAGATGCCAAATTTAATTAATGTACTACTAAAAAACTTTGTACTAAAAATAAAAAAGGTATAAACTTATAACATGAAAAGAAAGCAAAAACATATCAAACATCACATAATTTTTATTCTCTTTTTTTTGTCAAATAATTTGTATAAATTCCAATACAAATAAAGAACAAAATAAATATCTTGTTATTACACTATATATTATACGTGGCATATCTATAAAGTGGTTCTTTATTTGTACCTGTTACCTAATCTTTTATTAGGATTTAAATCGAGCCTCCATGTAACAATGAAAATGTTTACCTCGAAAAAATGGAATCAACCAAAACATCCTACTACTAAAATTATTATAATTTAATTAGGGATTTTGGGATCAAATTTTAGGTATATAACTTCAGTTAAATATTTAGAAAAATAATATAATTGATTATAAAAAGGTGATATCTAACACAACTGATTATAAATTAAAGTTAAGTAAGAGTTATTAAAATTTATGAAAAATAAATTATATGGCATTATTGGTACAAGTAATATTATTTTTAAAATAATTCTAAATGAGATAAATTATTATAGAAAATAATTGATAGAGTCAATTGTTATAACAAGTATGACATTATATTAGTTTATATGTGATATTGTAATATCCACGAAATTATGATAAATAACTCATTTCAATAATCATATATGTTTGCTTATTAGAAATAACAAAACAAAATAAAATAAAATTGTATTTTCAAAATTAATTTGAGCCAGTGGAGAGGACTAAAAGACCAATAAATTGATTAAATAACCTAGTTGAAATAAACTGGAAAATTGGTTTAAAAGAATTGGTCAAAGAGTTGAAAAATATTAGCTGTTAAAAAGAGTCAAAATCTAACAAAAATGATTTATAATAGATGAACAAAAATTTTAATATAAGATGGCGATAATGTTATTAAATTTAAAACCTAGAATTATTTATTGATTTTAGCTCTTATTAATATAAAGTTATAATACTGTTTTTTTATTTAAATACTGTGACAACATTATTAAAATGAGTTAATCCTAGATTGAACGAGAATTAAATGATTAAGTGTTGGATGAGATAAAGAAGAAGAAATTGAAAAGAGAGAGCATGATAAGAATTTTCCATTTGTAAGGCATAGCGAAATTTAAGGGGAGGTTCCGTCCAAATTAGACCGGAAGAAGGAGGAGCGTCTGAAGTCAATAACTCGCAAATGCAACGATTCCGGCGTGGCAACAAATCGTTTGCAGATTTGACTGTGACGTTGCGTTGCATTGCAGCACATCATTATAGTAATTAGGAGCACCCAGTCTTTATTATTTTTATTTCATAAAAAAGCAAAATTAAGTCTTCTTTGGCACATCATATTCAATTCATTGACCATTCCCACCCATTTTTAATGCTTCAACCTATATTCCATGACGGCTTGTTTTTGTCTTCATTCATTGGACCGGAACACGGACCGGTTTATTGATTAAACCGATCCATTTGTTTAAAATTATAGTCTTTTAATCATGGTCATATATATCATGTTTTTATTTCCACGATGAACGATTCAAAATTTAAACTTATAACTTTTTTTGATATATAAAGACATTAAGACCTAACTTATTTATACGTGAGAAACCAAAAGAAAAGATTTATTTTCAGAGATAAAAAATTTACTTTGTTAAGAGATTAAAATATATTTAACTATATTATAAGTTAGTATATAATAAATTTTTTTTCTTGTAAAATTTAAAGTTTTGTTAGAAGTATAAATATTATTGTAATAACCTTGATCAACGTTATAATACTATTAATCTTTCATTACATTCATATCAAACACACAGATGCATATTAATATGAGCTCAAAATATACTTTTGGTAAAACACATATTCACAATAGATTTTGGTAACGCTGATACTTTACTCAATCACACATAAACTTATTTTATTTTGAAATTCGTAAAACATTTATTTTTCAATTGTAAGACCTTCTGTGATTCAGTAAAAATAATCTCTTGTCTCATAGAAGTGTGCTCGCCTAGTGGAGGAATGGTTGACTTAGTGAGCACCCTCTTTGGATTTTAACAAAATAAATTTTGCTTAGTAAAGGGAATGATCTCCCAATGAATAAAATATATAAAATTCACTTAAAGAGAACTGAGTTTGTCCATTGACCCAACCAACATAAACTCACTTGATTTCCACAAAACTATTTTCATCCGGTATATACTTATCCTGCAAGCAAAACCTCTACGAGATTTTCTCAAAAAACTCACCCAAATAGTCTTAGCTCACCTAGATATATCATATCATCAATTGGTCTATCTAGATAATTTTATTCCTTTCCCATTTTAAAATACTGCAATTAAGTTCAAAGATGCCCCCAAATAAAATCAATTGACCAAAATGATATCTCAAGGTAAAATCAACAACCTTACAAACATATCTATATCATATTTCTCAACCAAATTTTCAATATCAATTTAGTCATACCAATCAAATCAATAGATAACATTTCTTACAACAAGCACTGATCACAAAATTCCTACCGTCAAATTATTCAATCACAACATTACTAGAGAAGTAACTAGTTTTCCTTATCTCAATAAAAATCCTAACTCAAGTTTTTTGTTCCAAATGTTATGTAAAAGGCTCTATGTACACACAAATTAAACTCATGGATTATCTGAACATACCTTAATAATTACATAAACAAATATATTTATTTTGAGTTATCTTAAGTCATATGCAACCACACAAATATCACAAAGAAAAAGATAAACTTACTTTTATTAGAAATATGATCAAGTAGATTTTGTATGCTCTAAGCAATTATTTCTATGGTAGCCTTTGATCTTCAAAGAAATGAAAGATTGAGATAAAGAATAAAATTAAAGAGAGTAACTTTTATAAAATAAAACTCGCTAAACTAATTTTTCTATTTATAGTTCAACCTTTTAATAATAAAATAATCGAATGTCATTTGTAAAAATTATTCTGCTCTTTAACTATTCTTTTAGGTCTTTGCAATTAAAATTATAAGGAATGAAAAAATTATAAATAACTTTTATACTTCTATCTTTATTTATTTATAAATTTTATCTTTCTAAAATTTTATTATTTTTTTAATTTTGAAATTTAACATTATTTTTTTTATGAATATATTATATCGTGATGAAGGTGATAAATAATGGATCATGATAAATCAACCACAATATTCATCTAAATAAATTTTATTGTCATACCATTGGTTTAGTCTATACTTTTCTTTTCTTAGAGTTCAATGTAAGACCCATGAAAAATATTTACCTTAATAGTAATAATTTTATTACTAGTAGTAATAAGTTTCTTTGTGAATGAAAAATAAAATGTGGAAAACTAAATAAGAAATTTTGGTAGCTAAATTGGTAGAAAATTGTGGTGATTTCAAGAACATGGGTTCAAATTCTTTTCTACCTTGTTGTTTTAAAAAAAATTTAAAATATTGATAGTAGATAAAGCACTTTAGGTTTTAAGACATTATTGAGAGATCCAATATGTCAAGTGGTGATTAAAATATTAATATAAAAAAATAATATTAAAATAATAAATAATATTAAAAAATTGTTAAATAGTAAAATTTTTGGACTATAAATAGTTATGAGATGTGAGTTTATTTTGCATAAAGAGAGGAAGAATCAAGTGAGAAATCTTGAGAAATAGAGAAGAAATAGTTAGGAAGAATTTTTTAGTTGCAAGAAGAGTAGAGGTTCTGGAGGGTTTTCGGGAAAATGAATTATGAGCACGAAATTAAGTCTGGAATAGAGGTGGGGAAGCTAACCTTTCTAAGCTTTTATATTATGATTTAGTATTGTTTTATTACTATTCATGTCTTGAAATTATGTGTGAATATTGTTAATGAAAAACATATGTGCTTACTGTATATCTATCTATATTGTATTTTTGTGTTAATATTATATGTTGTTGTTTTGAATCTGTAAATAAGAAATTTGTTAAAACTAGTTGAGGAACACTTTGGCTAAGGAAAGACTTGGTACTTAAGTTGTCCATTGTGACGCACCCCTCTTTCCTGGAAGTCTACTCGACAAGTTTTTAACTTAAATCTTGTTGAACAGATTATGTACTGTTAAATTATTATGCAATATATCTTGTTGGAATGAAAATTTCTGATGAATTCATGTTATTGTTGTAGATATGGAATTATGAATTATAATTGTGATGGTAGGATAGAGGAATCTTAAAAACCGGAGTTGGTACATCCCTGATTATAGAGCAGCCTTGGTCAAATCCAGTAAGTTGTGACTAGTCATATGTACTGGCGTTTATGGTGAGTTTGATT